GTTCTGACAGGCCTGGGGCTAAAGAGCTTTTTCCCCCCTCCTCAAATGGTATGGTTGTTGTGTGCTTTTAAATTGTGTATTGTTTTGTTCGTCTTTTTTATCCCCCTGTCTGTACCCCCCTTCCCTGACTTGGATTGTGAGCCACCCTGAGTCCCCTTCGGGGAAAAGGGCGGCATATAAGTGCAATAAATTCAATTCAATTCAATTCAATTACTTATCTAATAACCTTCTTATTTCATTCTCTTATTTTTCTTTTTATGTTTATACTTTTATTCTATTGCAAAATTCTAATTAAAACAGTAATCCCCCAAAATATGATTTTAATCTCTTACCTTAATTTTTAAACCTTCTCCCCTGATTTCTAACCTAGATACCAGAGCATTGTTCTGATAAAATGAAAAGCATCACTGTAAGTGAATCTTACAAGAACTTGTCTTTAATAGTATGGAATTCCGCTATATGCTGACTCTGAAATAATGTAATATTAATCCCAACAAAATGGTCTTTGACTTAATTAACCCTCATTAACCCTATTCATTCTTACGTGTTATATCTCAGGAGTTGTAAGCCAATTTCTGTTGTTACCTTCTTTCAACGTTCTTATAATAAAATATGATTTGTATTAGTATAATATGAACTAATAATTCAGTGGAGTCATTAGGCTAGAAGCCAAGTGATGGTGAGTTCTAGTCCTGATTTAAGCATGAAGTCATTCTCTCTTAGAAGTTTTTTTGGAAAACTTCTAAAAGACTGAAAACTTTGGAACACTTCCCAAGAAAACTTCAGTCACTAGAAGTCAATACTGACTTGAAGGCAACCTCCTTCAACAAATAATTGGAATGGGAACTGAAGTAATTCTGACAATTTCAACAATCGTTTAGGAACAATTTTAAAAAAATATGACAACATAAAGTTTAGACAAAATCTTGTTAATCTGAATGACTGGCCAGTTTTTGAGATTCCTCTTACCATTCAAAGTGTATTTCATATATGTGAATTAAACCAGAAAATGTCTCAAATACCTTAAAATGGCTAAAGTCCTCTAAAAAGAATAAAGATGCTTTTAGTATGAAAGTCCCACTTAATCATTGCAATTTCTTTTCAGCAGATGTCACAAATGGTTTAGAATTTGTTTCAAAGAGAGGCTGAAGAGGCGCTCAAGAATTTAGCATCCCTGGCTGGTTATCCTTTCGATTATTTTAGATTAGGTGTTGAGAAAGATTCTTCTGTGGGCATTTGACACTAATTCCATGCAGTGACTAGTAATTACAGAAAAGCAACAGAAAACCTGGGCACAATTTTAATTAAACTATTATTGATGAATGGCTGCCAAATTTTGCTTTCATTTAAGAGAAATTTGGCCAGAAGCAAGTAGCGAACTCCAGAATGAAGCAAACTTTTGTTAGTTTTAAATAACTCTAAATTAAATAACTAGGCACCTAATATACTGTATATGTTTCTTCCATATTTTAAAGAATGTCATTTTCTGAATAGTTGTTACAACACTGATAGTTCATTATAGTAGGAATATTAACAAATACCTTATAATTAAAATTGTTGTACAAAGCCAACATTTTAATAACAATTAATGTGCTAGACTTCCTTATGCCTTATTTTCTTCAGGTTTCTTGAAGGAAAAGGGTCAAGTAGTAGAAACAGCCTGAAAGATTATTTCATTGTTCATTTCATTGTTTCAATGAAAGACTTTCATATCATACTGAACCGGATCTTCCCAGACATTTGAAATGGAGGAAAAAATGGCTAGACAATTACCATTTTTAGATGAACTTATCAACAGGCAGGAATATGGAAGCCAAGAAACCATGGTTTATCACAAGGCTGCTAACACTTCACACATTCTTAGTTTCAACAGTAACCATCCACTGTTACACAAAAAGAGTTGTGTCAGAACACTATATGGCAGGATGAGAGCCCACTCTGATGATGTGGATGAAGATACATCATTTGTTTAGTTTACTGCCATACACCAAAAATATTTCGGAAACAGTTGAAGAACACAGTTTCTGAGATCCGCAAGTGGGTATCTCACAATGTCCACAGACAAGTCATGCATTGCAAAGATCGCCTGGAGGTGGGAGATACTTCTAATTTAATCTACTGGATCCCCAGCATGGATTTCCCCCTGTAGCTATCTAGGTCAGGCAAGAAGGAAGCTAAGCACCAGATTGCAAGAACACAGTTTTCAGGAACAAGAATGGCCAGACGAGGAGACCCAAACTCATTGGTCATTGCAATGAACAAGGATATACATTTCAATTTCACAGCTACTAAAAATTGTTGGCTGAGCAACTAGAAAGGTAGCCATGGAAATGATTGTCGACTGGCAACTCCCCGGGGGAGGGCTTTCTCTGTGGCTGCTCCGACCCTCTGGAACGATCTCCCCGTTGAGATCCCTTTCCGGCTTTCCGCAAAGCCACTAAGACCTGGTTGTTCCGGCAGGCCTGGGGCTGATGAGTTCCCAGCCCCACTTGAACTGTTGCGATTGTTGCTGTGTTTTAATTTGTCTGTTTTTTTGTTTCCTGTTTGTATTCCCCTTCCCCTCTGCTTGTTAGCCGCCCTGAGTCTCTCGGGAATAGGGCGGCATACAAATTGAATAAACATTCCAACATTCCAAACATTGCAGCCTAGGAAACTGGCCCCTTGTCAGTCAACAGGAGTGCTGATTTATTACTGCCTTATCAGGTACTTAGGAGCCCAGGACTTGACAGCACAGGGAAACAACAGCCAATGACTTAATACCCAACCATCAACACCCTAATCAACAAATAAAAAGCTGTACACAATCAGGCACCACATAAATACTATGCATAGAACAGTCCAAAGCTCTGGTGACTGGCCCAGATTGAATCCTACAACCTGCCTGCTTCAGAGCATACTGAAAAATGCTTCCGAACATACTGTATGTTGTAAGTATGAATATCGTATCTGTTTGAAACACCTTAAAGCAGCCACACCTTAGAATCAGTCTCAAGAAAAGACATAAAGAACTACAGACAAGTACTACATTACCATCCCTGCTTGATCCCTAGCAGTACATCGCTTTGAATCAATAGTATAAGCTGTATTGTGTCTTCTTGGGAGCAATTATAAGAGCCGAGGTGGCGCAGTGGTTAGGGTGCAGTACTGCAGGCCACTTAATCAGCTGACTGTTATCTGCAGTTCAGCGGTTCAAATCTCACCGGCTCAAGGTTGACTCAGCCTTCCATCCTTCCGAGGTGGGT